AAAGAAGTGTTAACATTTTAGGATCAGGGGAAACACTGAAAAATCAACTATATATTAGGTAATAGTTTCATATTAATATTAAATTTCTTGCATGTGAAAGAAGTATTGAAATTACATGGGAAATACCCTTGTTCTTAGGTGATTTATGGTGAAGTATAAAATGTCATTGCATCTGTAACTTATTTTTAAGTGCAGAAATTAGAGGAATAAAAATTTTTCCCAAAGGGTAAAATGCCTCTTAGCAAAGTAAAAAAGGAAGTACTTGAAATAATAAAGAAAAAAAATCTCCATTAATCATCATACTCAATATTGGTATATCAACATCAAACCCTTTACCCCCCAGGCCAAATATGGAACAATTTCAACTACAAAGTAAATAATGATAGCACTGGATTACAACACAAAGAATAAAATAAATATCCATGAGTCTATACTGATATAAATTATGGAAGGAAGGAAGGAAGGAAGGAAAGAGAAGGCACAGATTTTTACTGGAAAATTCCATATTTTATATATATATATATATAATATATCTTCCCCTTCCAGGAGGTGGAACTTTTTCTTTTAAGATTTTATTTATTTATTTGAGAGAGAGAGCACAAGCAGGGAGGAGGGGCAGTGGCAGAGAGAGAAGCAGGCTCCCCGCTGAGCAGGAACCCAACACAGGGCTCAATCCCGGGACCCTGAGATCATGACCCGAGCAGAAGGCAGATGCTTTAACCAACTGAGTCACCCAGGCGCCCCTGGCAGGTGGAATTTAATCACTCTCTCCTTGAATGTGGGCTGGACTTAGTTACATGCCTCCAATTAGTAGCTAATGAAAGGGTATTTTCCACAGGAGCAACTCACCTTCAATGATCAAGGTTAACATCATCAGTGATAGGTGAGGTATATAGGATGTACTTTCCGATATGATCTGAGGAAAAGGGCCTATCATCTATTTGGAATCCTTCCCTAAAACCCATAACTTCAGTGTAATCATGAGAAAAGATCTGAAAAACCTAAATTGAGAGCCATTCTACAAAATACCTGATGAATACTCTTCAACATTGTCAAGGTCATGAAATACAATGAGAGAGCCTGTCATGGATCGGAGGAGACTGAGCACTAAATGCAATAGGCTTATCCTGGAAAGAATCCTAAAACAGATAAAGGACATAAAGTAGGAAAACTGCTGACACCTGAATCAAGTCTGTAGTTTAGTTAATAGTATTGCATGCATGTCAAGTTTTTAGTTACGCAAATGTAACATGGTTCTGTAAGACATTAACACTGGAGGAACCTCGGTTAAGAGTATATGGAAACTCTCTGCACTATCTTTGCAACATTCTGCAAATCTAAAGTTATTCCAAATTTCAAAGTTTATTTTTTTTAAAAAGCAAACTCTAAAATCAGAAAGAAGACAGGGATACCTACTAATACAACCAACAGCTTAATAAGAGATGGAAAAGACAGAGTAAAGGAACTGAAAGGAAGAAAGAAATCTTCATTTCCCAAATCATATGATTTTTTGCATAAATCCAAAATAATTCCCAGAACAATTATTAAAATAAATAAAAGAGCTTATAGTAAGTTTGCCAGATACGAGATCAATACTAAAAAATCGATTAAATTTCTATATACCAGTGATACACAATTAGAAATGTACTTTTCAAGAAGGGATTTTAGCAAATCTATAAAGAATATAGAAATAAATCTAAATAATTATGCATAACATCTCTGAGAAGAACATTTGAAAAATGTATAGCCAATAAAGAAGACACTAATAAATGGAGAAACATAAAGTTCTTCAAGATGAAAGTTATTTCTATTAAGATGTCAATCCTCTTCAAAATGATCTATATATACATCCAATCCTATCACAATAAAAATCACAATAGGAGTTTTCAAGAAACTTGACAACATATTTCTAAAAAATAAAAATAGCAAGGATGCTCCAAAGGAGAAGAAAATGGGGTGAGACTGCCCTATCGCATAGCTTCTACATGCTAGGTAATTAAGACAGCGTCATTTTGGAACACAGATGGACATAACTGAGCAAAGGAACAGAACAGAGAGCTCTGGAACAGACCAAATCATATGCAGAAGTCTGATTACGAATTAGCTGGCTTTGCACATCACTGGGGGAAAGAGTGATTATTCAGTACATGATGCTGGGACACTATTGGATAACCTAATGAAAAACCTCACCCATAAACAAAAATAGTAACAGATGAATCAAAGACTTAAATATGAAAAGCAAAATAGCAAAATTTAAAAAGCTTAATAAAAACTGGGCAGAAGACATGAGCAGACATTTCACAGAAAAGGAATTATGAATAGCCAATGATAATATGAAAATTTCTCAACCTCATTAGTAATCCGGAAACACAAATAAAAATTAGTATCGAGGTACAATTTTACACTTATTATACTACCAAAAATTAAAAGAATGACAACCAAAAGGTTGCTGAGAATGTGGTCCAACAGAAATTTTTGCATATTCTTGACCGAAGTGTAAACTGGTCATTTTTAAAATCAATTTAACTCTACCTACTAAAGTTGAAAAGATAAATGTGTTAAGACAGCAATATGAGGGCGCCGGGGTGGCTCAGTTGGTTAAGCGTCTGCCTTCGGCTCAGGTCATGGTCCCAGGGCCCTGGGATCGAGCCCCGCATCTGGCTCCCTGCTCTGCGGGAAGCCTGCTTCTCCCTCTCCCACTCCCCCTGCTTGTGTTCCTTCTCTCGCTGTGTATCTCTCTCTCTGTCAATTAAATAAATAAAATCTTTAAAAAAAAAAAAAGACAGCAATATGATTCTTAGATATAGACTCAAAATTTTTTTCTTGTATTTTTGGACAAGGAGAACAAGCCAAACAGTAATCAAGTAAAACAAACAAAAAAAGTTAACTCTTTATACAATGGAATACTATGCATCAAGGAAAACAAAAGATCTAAGCTATCTGCACTGACGTGAACTGACTTTAAAACATCATATTGTTCAGTTCACATACAGTATTATCCCACCGATCTAGACTCCAAAACAGGCAAAAAATAACCAATTTACTTTTTATAGGAAATGTATATGTGGTCAGACAGGAGATGGCAGCAAAAAAACTCAGGACAACGATTTGCAAGGACAAGAAGAAGATGTAATCAGGGAGGAACCAAGGGAAGGAGGCTCAGAAATATTGGAAGTATCAGTTTTCTTAAATCGAGGCTAATGCTGAGTGAAGCTCAGTCACAAGTCTGGTGAGGCATGCCGGATGATCTTTTAATTTTTTCTTATTTAACTACTAATACACACTACACATATATCCACACGCGCATGCATACACACATACATATAATGCCTCTCTTATAACAAAACCCACTAGATGTGCAGGTGTTCAGTGGCCCTCTTGGCATTGACCTGAAGGAGCAGGAGCTAGGGCAAGAGGCACAAGAAGGGCTAATACTCTGGCTGCTGCTGTCGATCTCTCTGACCCAGGAGACTCCTGTCTTTGATTGGCATATGCATGAAACTGTGGTAGGGCAACGTGAGTCTTTGCACAGAGGGCAAAATCTTAAAGCCTTCATAAGTTTTAGCAAGACTACGGACTATTGCATATGAAAAGATATAGGAGGTGCAGGATAGCATGGTAAAACTGTCTACATGGGTGTTAGGAAAAATGGAAGGGAGCATTTGTTTAGGTATAAAATATGAATGAGATCTAGGGCCACTACTTTACTTCTCTGATCTGTGTCCTTACGCATAAAATGAAAGGTTAAAAAACACAGTCTCTAAAGACAGCTAGGATAGCTTCCAGTTCTCAAAGTTAAAGATTACAGATGCAAGGGAAGAAAAAAATAACATGAAATGCATAGTCACAGAAAGAAGAAATGTGAAAAAAAGTCATTATACAAATGTTAAAGATACAAACTGTGATGACAGCAAGTACAAAGTTTATTTCATCTGTATTGAAATATTTATCTGTAATATACCATAAAGTGAAAATTCTCTTTTAACTTGTATATCAAAGAGAAAACAGCCCCACAATGAAGCTCAAGTAAAATATTTTCATGATATACAAATGCCATTGAAGTGAAAAGTCTTCAATAAGACCACCCAACCTTGACAAGTGTATTCACAAAGGATTTAAAGAGTAATATTTGTATGACATACAGTAGGTGGTCTTTTGCGTGGGTGAAATACTCCAGCTGACTTTGGTTCATGAATGCTTCTGGAAGAATTACGATGGATTTCTACCTGGCAAACCATAACGTTAGCCTAAACTTCTAATTCTGCTTTCAGAATTGCATTTCTTCTCTGTGATGAAATATCCAAATTTCTTTAATCCTACATGTTTGTGTGAGCATCCATGTGTGTATTTAGGTAGTACGTACCCATGAATACTGCTTTTTCTTTTATATACTTATTGTTTATTTTATTGACTTGGCTATCAGGAAGCTCAAATGTAAAATTTTCAGTGCTGATCATAACTTAGGTTTTCTGGCACAACTACATTCCTTTATTTGGCTTTTCTTTCTCTATCCCTTATTTCAAATTATTTTATTCTCTACGTACTTTGTGTCATAAGTTACCTCGAATTATTTTCAGTAGATAAAACCGATGAATGCATATGTACAGTACGTGTCTTCTGATTTTAAAAGAAACATAGCTTGAATAAGGTTGAAAATTTCTTGGATCATCAGAAAAATATAACAGAAAAAAAGATGCCATTTGAAATCACATCATTATGGACTCCAAGAACCAAGTGAGGTTTCTAGAGGGGAGGGGGGGTGGGGGGATGGGTCAGCCTGGTGATGGGTATTAAGGAGGGCACATATTGAATGGAGCACTGGGCGTTATACGCAAACAATGAATCATGGAACACTACATCAAAAACTAATGATGTAATGTAGGGTGACTAACATAACATAACAAAATAAAATTAAAAAAATCACATCATTAAAATGAAGCAACTTGAAAGACTCTATACAACATTTATACTCTGTTTGAACTTCAAGTATGATAACTTACTTGCATATGTCATCTTCTGGGTCTTCAAGCCCAAATCTTTCATCAAATGTAAGTTGTATCCATACATTTTCCTCTGCTGCTACCAATCTCCATACCAAGACCATATTTCTTGGGTAAGTATGAGGAAATCTTGGGCTGTGAATACTTCCATTAGTAGACACAGTAATAATTCTCTCATGCTGGGGATCTTGTACTCCTAAAGCAAAAATATAGGAAGAGACATACATTTAGCTCAGACATCTAAAAAACTACAGGCTTTAAAAGAAATATTTTTTTATCATCCATATTTTAACCCAAACAAGTGTTGGGTATGCCTCATACGATATAAACCAAGTGCCACTCTTTTCAGAACTCATGCAGAAAAAAAGGATTATTTTAACAATACTGAGTAGAAATCTGTATGCATTTATACTCAAAAGAGCATAACACATTAGTCTTCTTAATTACTGGAATGCCAAACTACCAACTCATGGATTCCTAAAATCACAATTGGGCTGACTTAACACACGAATCTCCAAGAATGAATAAAAGATGAGTCATATTAAAATAAAAGGATACTTGCATATAATTCTATTTTTAAAAATACAGATAGTGAATTTTCCCCCATTCTTTAGCAGCAACTACAGCAATTGCAGCGACTTTTCACTGAGTATTTGTTACTCACATCACATTATTTCACATTGATAAAATGCAATTTAAGAATATTGCTCTAGGGGCACTGGGTGGCTCAGTTGGTTGAGCCTCCAACTCTTGATTTTGGCATGAGATCGAGCCCCTTGTGGGGCTCCATGCTCAGCGGGGGGCTGCTTGTCCCTCTCCAGCTGGCTGATCCTCTCCCTGATCATGCTCGCTCTCACTCTCTCTCTTTCTCTCAAATAAATAAATAAAATCTTAAAAAATAAGAACCCTGCTCTAAGAAACTTCTAGAATTTAAAAGACTGAATATCAAGGGTCATGTATTAGTTAGAAGGTTATTGAGGTTAAAGGATAACCTGTTTTACTCTTAAAAAGCCCAAAACAATTTCAGTAAGTTGCAGTTATGATTCTCAAAGCAGCTTTTTCATTCGCTTAACCTTGACTATTTGAACAATCTGGTAAGTATTATTTTAACATGGTCTAACTTATAATTAGGAAGACAGAGTAAAGACAAATGTAAGTTCCTTTGAATATATACAGTACACATTAAGAGGAATATCATCACATTAGTAAATACGCATTAACTGCTACAGAATTTTTAAATTAAATAATTTAATATTGCCATTCTTCTCAATGCCTGAATTTGTCCTCAGCCACAAGTAACCTATTCAGAAACATGTTCCCTCTCAGTGGATGCCAATATTTAATACTGATATTGGCTATATTAACTTATATGAATTATATGATTATATGAAATAATCAGTATTTCTTTTATGCACATAAGTTAGCACCAGTGTATCTCCAAAGAACACAGAAGGATCTCTCAAATGAAATGAATTCTCCTCTCTACTGACATATTTTCTTTTAAAAATAATGAAAATTTACTGTTACATTAAGTTAATTACCTGTTTTCAAAGATTTCTTTAAAAAATTGTGATATTTCCCACCCTCTAAATTTTCTTCCAATAACCTACATATTTCAAAGGTGTTTATAGCAGCAGTTTATATCAAAAGTCCTTCTCATTTTGGCAACTAATACTTTTTAATGAATCAATTTTTCCAATTAGATTTATTAAAATTTATTATTTGCCCTATTTCATCTAAAAAATGGCTTATATAATCTAAGGCACTCTACAAAGAGGGCACTGTTTACTTTTTCATATATAACCAAGAAAACAACATAGCTACTAAAAAATCTGAATTCTATTTTTATAACCATCCAAAAAAGCTCATTGCCAAAATATATATACTTAAATTTTGTTTACATCTTTTTTTCCCTTTATGATCCATAATTCCATTAAACTATAATTAAACATAATTTAAAGACTGAACATCTAGGCCTTCTTTGTGGTAAAAGAATTGTAAATTTCCTTTTAAGTTAAATTGCTGCTCCCAAAAATGCATCTTTAAATGCAGTGAGGTTTGCCACCAAATACATATGATTTACACACGATTGTCAAAGTTTTATGTAAATCTCAAACAACTAGACCTATAATCAGAAAAAAAAAAGGAAGCAACAAACATTAAGTTCTACAAGAGTCTACATTTATAGTTTTGTGGTTTAAAAAATCATAGTTCTAAACATAGACCTTTACTGGTATTTTGAGGAAGAGACAAGTATATATTTTATAACTATTTTATTGAACATTCACTTTTCCTACGTCCAATGGACAGTATACTCAAAGAAAAACAGCAAGGTAATAAAACAAATGTAGTCACATCACTAAAATATTACAACATGCCCCTAGCCATGTATTCTAAAGAAGAATAAATCTTGGTTCATCTTAGATGGTGAATTTAGCATTGGAAATGAAAATATACATAAACATGGACTTAAAAAAACAATTATATGCCTTTTTACATTATCTTGGCCAAACCCTCTTAAGGAAGAAGTACGGAAAACTAGCATGAACCAAAAATAGAAAAATAAAAGGAAAAGGGAGATAAATAATGTAAATACTAACAAAAACACTAACTCAGAAAGATATCTGCACCCCTCTTGTTCACTGCAGCATTATTTACAAGAGCCAAGACATGGTAACAACCTATGTGTCCACCAATGGGTGAAGGGACAAAGGAAATGTGCTTTATATATATATAATGGAATATTATTCAGCAATAAAAAGGAAAAATGCCATTTGCAACAACATGGATGGACCTTGACGGCATTATATTAAAACAAGTCATACAGAGAAAGACATATATACTGTATGATCTCACATGTGGAATTTAAAAAAAAAAAAAAAAAGAAAGAAAAGGAGCTCATAGATACAGAGAACAGACTGGTGATTGCCAGAGTGGGAGAGTGGAGGGTGGGTGAAATGGGTGAAGGGGGTCAAAAGGCACAAATTTCCAGTTACAAAATAAATCATGGGGATGTAATGTAATATACAACATGATGACTACAGTTAATAATACTATACTGCATATTTGAAATTTGTTAAGAGAGTAGATCTCATAAGTTTCTGTCACACACACACAGAAATGTCAACTATGTATGAAAACTGATGTTAACTAGACTTAATGTGAGCATTTTGCAATGTATATAGGTATCAAATCATTATGCTGTGTACCTGGAACTAATATAATGTTATATATCAATTATACCTTGATAAAAATAATAATGTAAATACTGTAAGGTTATTAACTACACATGTATACATATAACTCAATTACATTGAATCATATCATATATCTATACTATTCTATTAGTTTAGCATTAAGTCAAAGCAATTTCACAATATTTGCTATGCATCTCATAGTATTAGTCCCTTTAAAGATATATTTATTATGACTGAAAGAGGGTAGGAATAAGAGAAATAACAAGCAATAAAAATTATAGTACTTGAGGGGCTCCTGGCTGACTCAGTCAGTAGAACATACAACTCTCGATCTCAGGGTTATAGGTTCAAGCCCCCCATTGGGTGTAGAGATTACTTAAAAAATAAAAATAAAAAATAAAAAAATAAAATAAAAACTATAATACTTAAAAATGTATTATTAATAAAGAGAACACTAAAAAAGAGGTTTCTAGATAATATGTCACTCACAAAAAAAGATAAATCCATATCCTTTCTCCACACTAATGTTTTAGGTCGACTGTTGCAGAAAAGAGCTCTAGGATTAAGAATTACATACAGTGTTTTAAATGAAAATCATTCTACTTTCTAAGTCTTCTTTTTTTTTTTTAAGAAGGCTCCACATCCAGCATAGAGCCCAATGTGAGCTTCAACATAGTGACTCTGAGATCAAGACCTGAGTTGAGATCAAGATTTAGATGCTTACCTGACTGAGCCACCCAGGCACCCCTGGATTAAGAATTAGGTAAAAAAGAAACATCTCCAAAATTGGTTAGTTTTAGAGTCGTAAAGAACTCTGGTTCCTGTTTCACATGGGCAAGACAGTAGCGCTATGTCACTTGTAAACTGACAGACTTCGCAGACATCCTGTGCAATTTCTGGTGTGTTTACTTCCAAATATATGTTATTTTGAAATTATGTTTTTTTAAAAAAATTCTATTTTCCAAATCCTTACTTGATAAATATACATATCAAGAAAAAAAGAATGATTCTTCTTTTTGCCTATAATAATCCTTGTTTATATTATTTTTGTTAGTCTGTTTATATAGTTATCTTTGCTTTTGCTCTCATTAACTCTCAATTAACAACTTTCAATTTTAACAATAGTCAAAATCATATGATACACAAACACACACACATGCACACAGTTTTACTGACTCCATGAACTGGCACCTTTTTGCCTAGAAAATCCAGAATAATCTCATCCTAATCCTACTTGATACTGTAGAAAGAAGATGGATTTGAGGTGCATAGTGCAAATAAATCTCTCTCCATAAATTCCAGTCTATATAGAAGTACCCTATGTTTATGTTTAATATTTAAAATTCTGACTATTCATACTAACGTATTATATGATACTACATTGTACTAAAATACAATAATATTCTAGATAGGCTCAATCTTCTCTTTCCCATACCTTTAAAACAATAGCAAATTAAAATAAAGACAATCAACAGCACCGTCTATCTCAAACTGTTTACAAATTATAATACATTTTCACTAAGGAAAAGAAAATAAGGGATAGTTAATATTAAGTAAACCATAAAACAAATATAATTAAGATATGCTCAATTGAGGTTCTTGAATTTATCCCAGAAGATGATCACTTTATTCCTCAAGCTAATGAATAGTCAAAACTTATATATTGGAAATCTTTTATGTTTCCTGTTCTGTTCCAGGTGCTTGGGATATCACAAATAAAACAAAGCCTTGTCCTCTTAATGTGACAACTTCCTGGACTGTATGTTAATATCATTCCTAAACTAGGTATACAGCAACTAATATTCAGCTACCAAAACCCACTTCAGATGTTTCCTCTTTTAGAATTCCATCTCTGACAAAAACAGAGAGGGAGACAAACCATAAGAGACTTAAGTCTAGGAAACAAACTGAGGGTTGCTGGAGGGCACTTGATGGAATGAACACTGGGTGTTATATACAACTGACGAATCACTAAATTCTACCTCTGAAACTAATAATA